TCTAATGTTCCTCAGAAGATTTGATAAGTAAGAATACATAGAGCTGAAAAGGATAAACTGAGTTCTAACAAGGATCCTTTCTTCCTAGGAATGCAGTTAGGTGTCTTTGTGGGATTTGACTATACCAAGCTAACATCCTTCACTCATCTGGTAGTTGGAGAAGTGTGATTAGTGATCTGTGTAATTTTAAATGGGAAGACACATTTCCTTACTTTCTGCCTTGGTTCACAAGATTTCCTAGCTTTCTCTTTTAAATCACCAGTCCAACTATTTTTTATCCTAAACTAAAATGACCTTTCTGTCTGGAGAGGGAAGAGTGAAGTTGGAAGCTGCAAAATGCCATTAAAGAGCTGCAAAAGTCAAGCTCGTGAAGTGTTGGGAAAGTTCAGATGGTGCCTTGATTTAAGCTCTCCATACCTACTGAATTTTGCAGTCTTTGTAGTAATCAAAATCCCCACTTTGATAATTTTCTTTTTTTTTTTTTTCTATAAGGTAATATCCTGAAGAATCAAGATGCAGTGTTAAGTGCCTACATGTTGTTAGTTATTTAAAGTGCAGGGGAGAAGAATGGGATTTTTTTTTCAAAGTATTTGCCAATTTCTTCAATAGACAAGAATGCAGAATTAGATGGCTGTCCTTGGTGTAATTCCCCTTGGAACCAAAGCCTGATGAGTCTGTTTCACTGAACAGGGTTTCCCATGTTCAGCTCAGTAGTGGGCATAAGTCCAATGTTTTTCAAATTCTGTGAAATTTGGTGACCAAAATTTAAGTCCACAAAACTGCAAATTACTCCTAATATTATTGCTCATTTACTATGCCTAACTTTGTCTAGATTAACCTCACTGTCTTTAGTCATGCACTATATCTGGTAGAAATTTAGTATAAATGCTGTCATAATCCATAATAACAGGAATTAGGACCAGGACAGTTTTCTTTCCCACTTTGTTTGGTGTGAAGGTGCAGCTCATCCTGGTTGCTGTGCTGTGTCCAATGTAGTTACTACCAAATTTCTCCCATGCAGAATGCAGGTTCATCAAGGGGTGGAGAGTATCCGATTGTCATGTGCCATAGTGGTTAAAGCATAATCTTCAAAGGTGGGAACAAAAGGGTTCCTTTTTTAAAATATAGGACCCTCCTGAGTGCTTTTAAAAAGGAAGGCTAAGTGAAGGAGACGCTTTTCATATCCTAGTCTTTGTAAAATTCATTTAGTCTCAGATTTTTTTACTCAACGTAAGAAAGGAAAGCTGTAAATGAGTGTCTTTCCTCTGAATTCTGGGGTAGATTTAAGCAGTGTGAAGCTACTATTTGTTTAATGAAATCTCCCACAACAATTGTATTTTAAGGATCCATTAATCCTCTGGATTAAAGGAAATATTATGAATATGATTGTTGTAAATTTTATTTTTATTTGTTAAGCCTTTGAAATAGTAGAAAACCTATAATCTCTATATTACATACAGTAGTGTTGGGACAGACAGAGCAGTTAAATCAAAGAAGTGAAGACTTTGGAGGAATGTCAGCAGTATGTCATATGTGGGCAGCCAACATTACTCTCTGCCTTAGCAAAGCCTGGTACAGACTAGTGTTGTCAGTACCTTTCAAATATAAAAATTCCACAGATTTTCCTATATGATTTTATTGTTATTGTTTTTCTAGAAAAAGGAAGTAGACCTAAGTTCCAGCAAGCTACAGAAAATTCTATGCAACCCAATGAAACTCAAGTCATTTGTATTTTCATATTTTTAAAAGTAGCATAAACAGTAATGAAGTCTGGACATATCAGCATGTTGCAATTATTGGAAGCCAAGCTGTTACAGATCTTCAGAAGCATGTCTGTGAAGTCCAGTAGGCATGAATAGGGTACAGTGTGATCTCATATCATTATGCAAGCAAACAGTCAATTCTGATTCTTCTCTCAGAAGTCCTTAGACAAGAATTTGAGAGGAAAATAAAAGAAATGAGAAAGCATTTATTCACTCTACATGCCAATTGGGGTATTTAACCATAACTTAAGGTTTGACAAAACAAATGGAAAAGGAAAATCATATTACAGCTCAAGCTTAACAACACACGTAGTGTCGTACTCTGCTTTGCTGAGTGTTGGGCTCTCTAGTTCTCTTTTTTCCAAAACCATCAAATGCCTATCAGACTGGTATTTTGCTGTGAGTGTCTGCAGTTCTTGTCTCTTTCCTTTTCTGAGTGTAATGTTACTGTAATACTTTAATCTCTGGTTGTCACTATAAATGCTCATTATAAATATACTGTGCTGAGAAATTAGGTCATATGGCAAACACTTTTTTTTTGGTTATTGAAAATTTACAACATCAACAAAATATGTGTTTTTACTGCGCTTATTTTTCAATTTTGTTAGATATCAGAAGGAGTATCCCTGAATGATTTAAGGAAAAAGAAGAGGCGTGCCCCTCTTCCACCAGCTGTGTCTGCTCCACCCACTCCCACCATGCCAAACAGGACAGAAGACAGGGAAGACAAGAGGAAGAGCACAATGGGTGAGAGGCGTTCTTTTCTCCTGAATGACCCTATTCATGTGCTTTCAATGCTCACTGTTTGAAGTTGCCTTAATTCTGTTATGCTGTGAGTTTGGAAACTTTTGTAACTTGGGGGAAAAAACTACATTTCTCTGCAGAATGAAAGTCTGGAAATAAGTGATTGTATATTACCTTTTTTTTTTTTTTTAATGGCACCGTTCAGAGTACCACAGGGTAGTAAAATGTAGATAACCCTCATCAGATTATTTGAATATTTGGCACCTTATATACAGAAGCACTAGCCCTGTGCCTATTCTGTATCTTGGAGGTCATGATTGGTTTGCTAGTAAATAGAAATATAAAAATAGTAAATGGAGATGCTAATAAATGGAGATAGGCCAATACTGAATGCACCTGAAGCCATGAAGTTCTGCTAGAACCAAAGTACAGTCAACTTGGTTTAGTGTTTCCTCATGTTTCTGAAGCCTGAAAAAATTTTATTTTCATATAGTCCTCCATCAGTTTGACATCAACTGTCCATATAAAATAATTTAAATTTTATTAAATTTTGTCCTCACTTTTATTATAAATCAGTATCTGATGCGTCTTTAGCTAATCAGTAGAAGAAAAGAACTGATGCTCTCAAAGGAATGCCATACGTACCTACACTCAACAAAAGAAACTGTAGCTTCAGCTGCATGTGGCACCACATTTACTCGCACAGGAAAACTGAGCAACATTCTCCCAGACCTCTGTTGTTGTCTGCCAGGTAGCTTGTTGAGATTGGTGAGAGCTTTGCCTGGGTGAGGACACCAGGATTATGCTTCTGGCAAGCAAAGTGATTTTATAATGGGTCAAATTATGAGCTAATGACCCTGCATATTGGAACTCATTTTTCAGTACATTAAGAGAATCATTCTTCAAGTACCATAATGCACTCAGTGCACTTCAGTTCATGCCTTTGACCTCATGTTTCATAAAATGCCTAAGACATACAGATATGACATTCAGTTATACATAATTGCTTACATTAAAAATGCCTCACAGTTTAGAATGAAACCTCTTGGCTTTGCACCAACATTTATTTTCAGTAAATGCGTCACATTTAATGCCTCAGCATTTATGTAGCAGCAGGAGTCCATTATCATGTGACATATTTGACTCCATTGACATCTCTTATTTAAACTCTCTAAGGGCAGGGTTATTGCTGGGCCATATAACACAGGAGTTTTCAGAAAACTGGCTTACTTTTAATCAGTACAGATGTCACACTCTACTGCTTCTCATGCTTTGCCCTACTATTGGTCACTTTTTGATGACATTTGGTGCTTTAACTTTTTATAAGTGTTCCTTTTTTGTATTGGTGGTCAAATTTTACAGATGAGATATAGCAGAGCAGAGCTACTTCTTAGTCTATTCAGCACTGTGTACATAAGTGCTTGAGGGCCAGACTCTGCTCATGTAGGATTCCGTAGTATCGTTTGCTTTAATGGAGCCTTATTATTTTACACTGACAAAGAACTCGTCCCACAGAAGCCCTGTCTTCAGTGCTTTTTGTTTTCTGCTACTTTCTTGAATGAATGTGTTCATTAACAAGAAAAAAATGTTACAGCCAGAGAGGGTTGGTAAAACAGCCTCTCTTCGGGGCCCTTGCAAGAAAACAATGAGAAAGCACAGATGGCTCTGAAAGCATGAGAGAAAAGCTGTGAAAAAAGCAAGACTGTAGTGAGGGGAAAAACGTGCTGCAATAAATAGTCAGCCACATGATGGAAAAAGTATTAAAGATACCTGTGTGGCTTACAAGTTAGCCATGTGAATCAAAGCAAGTGATCCAGTTTCTCAAACTGGCAAATTCCCCATAGTATTCAATACTGAATCATTTATTGTGACACCAAAATATTGTGCCAAATTTCCTCAAAGCAGTAAAAAAGGGCTTGCACATTTGCCAGCATTAAATTGAATCTCTGGAAGATGCTCCTCCAGAAGCTAGTGACTCCTAAATTAAAAATCATAATGGCTGAATCATTTTTTGTCCCCCTTGGTGCTGCTGCCCTTCTCAGCAACCCCAAAGCTTAAGCCGGAGAGTGTAGGCATGGATGGGACCAAACATCTGTCTCTGCCAGCATCCATCTTCAGCAATGACCACAGCATATGCTTCAGGCAGGGTATGAAAGCAGAATGGGCAGGTAGTCATGGTTCCTCAGTGCACTTTCAACCTCTAAGGACATTCCAAATAACAGTAGCTCAAGTTCTGTACACTGCAAACTGTCATTTTAACATTGAAAGTGGTTCACAGAGTACAGTGCAAAGACACATGTATTTATTTAGTTATTGCACATAGTGTTGAAACAATCCCCCAGACAAAGTTACGGGCATTTCTTTGATAGCTTCAAACACTATTTTGCAAAAAACAACCTTAATCATCTGCTTCTCTACAATGTCAAAATAATGAAATTGGCTCAAAAAGAAGAAAACAAAAGCCTGTAAGATAGTGACAAAATAGTGACCTACCTCATTTACCTCTTTTTCTCAGGAAAAGCCAGGAAGTAGTCATGTAAAGTATCTCAGAGATCAACAAATTCAGGCAGTTTAACACTGCAGAAGATACAATAAAACACATTTTTCATATTTTCTTACACAGCATTTTTCAATTCTTTTTATTTTGCCTAACTGTTTTTTCTCCATTCTTATGCCTGCCAAAACCGGTGATTTTGTTAGTACATGTATGTGCTGGGCTCAATTCTGGTCCCACTTCTGTTGGTTTAAAACCCACTTTTTCCATCTCTGCTAATTATTTGGATGTAAATAAGAACAGAATTAGATCCCGAAAGGCTCTGGATGTGGGTAAGGGAAAATCAATGTGTTTTTAAACAATGAGCAGAGCAATCATTATCTTGCAATGAAGTAACAAGTCAATTGATCCCCCTGTAGGTGATGGACGGCAGGTGCCACAAAAGCCTCCTAGGGGCACCACTCGTGGTCCCCCCCAGTTAGTGATCCCCCCACCCCCACCTTACCCTCCTCCTGGCAGTGACATTGTGGATCCAACAGTGTGTTACAGAGAAGCAGATGTTACAGCACCAACAGAGCTGGTACCTAAACGTATGTTTGAAAATGTATTTGCATTTCCATTCTTTGGATGATTGCTCTCAGGGGTAGCTTTTCCAGACTTTCCTCTCTGCTCTTTAAACATCCGTGTGTGTTTTTCCCCCTTTTTCCAGCCTGTTGTCTTTCAAAATGTCCAATGCAGTATAACTAATTAATACAAAATAAAACACTTGTTTAGAGAGAGTTTTGCATGTGATACCTAGTCATTGTACAGAAGGCAGCGTTTTCAAATAACCATCAAGCTTTGTTGCTTTGTTCAACTTTAAAAAAAGAAAAAATCTGTGGTCTTGTATTAATTCCCCAAGTTTCTTTTTCTGTGCTAACAAATTTTTTGCCTCCCCAGAGATGAGTTCTTTTGAAAGTCAATGGGTCTATCAATCTAGGTTAAAAACTGCAGTGTCTTCCTTAGGAAAATAAAACCAATTACAGGAGCTGTATATTGTTAAGGGCCTTCCTGTCCTAATGGGTACCTCCTTCTTGGCATCTCTGGGTAGTCCTTTGTGTGTTCTTCACCTTGGGGCATAACAGTAATCAGACAAAGAAGTACAATATTTTTCACATCCCCGTGTACTTGTGAAAAACATGTTTCATGCTGCTTTTTCATGCTTATCCATTGACTGCCTTTAAATCTTTGTACACAATCCAAGTCTTTGATCATGTATTATGTTCCCTGTGGGCTTGCCCTGCACACCCATGTAGAGCTGGTAAAAGCAGCAAAGCTCTGCACATTATGACATCTCATGGATGCACTTCCTTTGAAGACTAGGAGGGTGTCTCCTAACATAGAGGATAGACAACTGTCTCTATTGGCTACTAATTTGACAGAAGGTCTCTTTCCAGGACCTTATGTTTACCAAAAGTATTCTGGAGGTTGCAGTTACTCTGATACATTAATGTGAATGTGTTTGCTGGTGATCACCAGCCAAATCTAAAGCACTATTTTTCAAATCTTTTCAAATCTGCCTGTATCTGCTGAGAAGATAAAAATTAATAAGTTTTATTGGAGCTAATGATGGAAATTAAGGAGATCATACTAGCAGAAAACCTGAATCTTATTGAGGATTAATGCTAAGACTTCTTTACCAGCATATGCACAGACATTGTATCATACTTAAAATCTTCATTTTATTCAAGATACCATCAGCTTGCCTACAATGTTTTCATTATTAAAAATCCATTGTGGCCTTCTTTGCATTAATATTTCTGCTTCATTTGCATTTCTATCACTGTTATTTTGCAATGCTTTCCTGATCTACCTTGCTGATCAAATACCCTTTAATCAATGCAACCCTCATGTAATCAGTGTGATCATTTGCTCTTAAACAAACACAGTATCTCAGCCAAAAGGATTTGATTAAGCTTGTACATAGAAACATAACATGAGTTTTTATTGTCCTCAATTTACTGAGAGCAAGAGCTTAGTGGATATTTATTTTAGACTTAAAGCATCAGTGTAGGAGAGAGACAAGTTTTAGCTCTGTAATTATGCTGTGTCCTATGTAGATAAACATAAGTGTGTGGATTTTCACAGGACAAGTGTGTGTTGATGTACCCATGAGAGACAGCAGCACATAGGACAGAAGCTAATTACATTGCCTAATGCCATTCTAAAAGGTGCTTAGATACTATAGCAATTGAGCTGTGTAAGAACAACATTTTGCAATGATGTGTTATATTGCCTGAGAATGCCTCAAGCAGTTCAAATAAGATTTGGGCGGTAGATTGAAAGAACAACAAAATTTTCAATCTTCCTAACTCTAACCTCAGTAAATGTGTTTTCTCATAGAATAAGGTGGGGAGGAGGATAAACTGGTGATGGCAGCTGTTGATAAAAGGCATGGAGTTTTTTAAAATCACTCTCAAAGCAGCTTTCTCTGATAACAACTGTGGTCTTCCTTTGCTGAGTGGGTGACTGTCAACAGCAGTATGTGTCCCACAAGAAAAAAATTCCACTTAGAAGTTAAAATTCTGTGATCCTGTGGAGTTAAAATTCTCACTCCTTATGATCTGCCACTGTTTTTTTCTTTGAAGCTTTTGAAACTTTCTGTGACGTTTCCTGCCTTCCTTCCTGCCTGCCTTCCTGCCTGCCTTCCTGCCTTCCTTCCTGCCTGCCTTCCTGCCTGCCTTCCTGCCTGCCTTCTTGTCTGCCTTCCTTCTTTCCTTCCTTCTTTCCTTCCTTCTTTCCTTCCTTCTTTCCTTCCTTCTTTCCTTCCTGCCTGCCTTCCTGCCTGCCTGCCTTCCTGCCTTCCTGCCTGCCTGCCTTCCTGCCTGCATTCCTACCTTCTGTCTCCTTGTGCTCTGGGAGACACAAGTTTAGGGATTTTCATATCGTAGAGAGTGGTGACAATCACTTTTCATTGAGTTTTCCAAATTTATGTGGAGTCTAAGTAATTCATGTGTGTGTATATATAAATATATTTGTATGTATATATACTTGAGCTTTTCTGTATCAAATTGTAAGAGTCTCTTCCACAAGTAAGGGTACAAAATTTCCTCACAGTTTTTGCTCTTAAATATTTTTTTTTTCTGATTACATGATGTTTTCTCTAACATTTAGTCTGGTAGAACCTTAACTGCATGTTGTGTGCATTTAAATTGATGTGTTTATGGGATCCTTTCTTCTTCCTTATCTTACTAATCGGATTGTTCACAGCCTGATTCTAAGATTGATTGTACTTTGGGAATGCAGAGATGGAGATTGTTGGATGGTGTTTGGTTGTCACATTGCTTGTGAAGTTCCAAATGTGTGAGTTGATGGTAAACTCTGTGCTACTTACTGGAGGTAAAGAAATCTTTCGCATAGTGAAAGACTGCTCCACCTAGACAAGCAACTGAAACATGCTGCCTTGAAATGTCAGCCAGCTCATTAGAGTAAACCCAGTATTCCTGTGAAACACCTCATTAGCCCTTTATTTGGCTAGTTATGAACTGTCATTAAGATATGCAGTAAGAAATTAAAAGCTCTATGGGAAAGAATATACAATTCCCCTTACTGCAGAGTGAGATCCTGAAGTTAAGTTTTTCACTCTGGCATTGGATAGAGTACTCATGAATTCAGGGCTCACACTGGGTAAGGGCTTGACAACTGATTGATTTGTAAATTTCAGAAAGTGGTCTGTCTTTGAAGAAATTAAATCATGGTTTGAACCTGTCCTTGTTTTTAACTAGAGATCAAAATAATCAAACGTCACTTAATTCAAAGTTTTTTAAGGGGTGAAGGAGTGGGTATACTATTTAATTTTCTGTAGATAGCATGTGTACTACTGTTTGATGAATAAAACCAGGTTAATCTTAAGGTATTATGAGAACAGAAAAGAGCCTTGTCCCTCTAATTTTTATTTTTTTTCATTATATCGCTGATATATGGATAGGTAATACAAGCCAGTTGACAAAGGCAATGACAGTTTCACAAAGAGTTCAGTCCTATTTCTTCAGCCACCATACATATGTATATAGTCTTTCACGGGGCTAGATTCTAAGAGATGGATTTTGTTAGCTTGAAGCAAAAATGGGTAGAAACACAGAGGAAGCTTCACTCTCTTACACGTGGCTCTAAGTCAACTGAGAACTGAGGGCTACTCTGCAGGGAGTTTTGCTGGCTTGTCATGGTACACTGCTTCATAAGGTATGTGTCAAGTGACCCAGCCCTTTCTTTCTCAGAGGTGGTCTTTAAAGCAGAATGCCTGCAGGTGTGGCTTAGGAGGCTTTTATTGCCACCACTACTCTTACTCATTCAGGCAATCTGAGGCTAAAGAATGAAGTTGAATCTCCAATGTCATCTATCTTGCTCCTTCTGGAGAATTAAAGTTCAGGCCAAGTAAAGCAGAATTCATAGACATACTGACATATCAGTAAGTATTGTGCTGTTAGGATTGAGTTAGTTTATACATGAACCCAGGTAATTTGTCTCAGAGCATCTGCAGGATTCCAAATTTTAACACATGTGCCCATGCACCTACACCTCCTTTGGGCATTTGATTCTTTTATGTTACCAAGCATGCTAGCCATTCTGCTGACTGACCTACACAATACTTATAATTTTATTTTTTTACTCTCTTCCCCTGACAGTTTACTGTTGTGCATCATTTCCTTCATACTCCAAGCGTGTCTGACAGACCTTACCTCTTCCTATGACCTTCATACTTCTGAGCCTCCTGTTGCCTCTGCTATCCTGATTCTTCTGTTGCCTTCCTTCCTCCCCTGCTGGAAAGAAAAACAACTTTTTTTTTGACTGAGATTTTGGCTTCTTTTCTTTTTTAACTTGCACATTCTCTATTCTCACATTCTCACATTAATCTCTCACATTACTATTGATTATTTCTGGCTGTGGTTCATACTCATTTGTGAAATGTATGCTCCAGAACTGAATGGTGTGTTACATAAATCTATATATCAGCCTCAGAAAGATTATCTGTCGTTCTTTTCAAAAAGATTCTCTTTATTTTGAGCCATTGTTCAATTTGATTTGGTGTTGCAGAGGAGTGTGTTCTTGGGACAGGGTATGTTACTTTCCATATTGTTTAAGGTTTTAATGAAAAGTTTCTAAAAACTTTTCTTTTTTTCTTTCTGTTACTCTAGGTATAAAATTTTGTATTCTCTATCTGTTCTATTTTCCTTTTATTACATCTGTTTTGTTCCTTTGGAGCAAAACTAGAACTGGGCATGGCCTAATCAAGTTGAAGTGCAAGATTATTTCTGTATCTTGGCAATCAATCAAGCTGTCAAGAAAAAAGAAACAGGATCTATAAGGGCTTAAAAGGAATACCAAGAACCAATACCAAGTGCGCTGATTCATATTCTTTACTTCTGCTTTCATCCTGATACTTAATATGAATAATTTTGTCTGGATGCTGGAGACATGGTGTAGAAATCCAGGTGTGTTCTATTTCTGTAACAAAAGATGCAAACACTGTTTGCTCAAGATACGTCTTGTTCCACAAGTCTCCTTTTCTCACTTGTACTAGGAATAGTCAGTGAGTTCTAACTAAAATATCATATATAGGTTTGTACTTAGCAAAAACATCTTTGTGCTAAAGGAAGTTCTTCATGAGAACAGCCCATAAGACATATATTTTTAATAATCCTGAACTACAAACACAGGGTTTATGAGTTGTAATGATGCACACACCCAGAACTATTCTGACCTCACATGTACTGTGCTTTAAAACGTTCATGTTATTTAAATGAGTGACTTGCAATACATAACTCTAATTTAAATGATGAAAAATTATTGTCTTGCCCTCAAGCAAATAATCATGTTAATCTTGACTCCTTTCCAGGTAGGCAAAATGGAGTGTAAGAAAGAAAAGCATTCCTACAGATAATATAAAATGTGACTAAAATGCTGTTTGACAGTTTCTAATACAAATATGACATGTAGGAAGTGATTCTTTAGAAAGTAAACTTAGTACCCTAAGGGTCTTCTAATAAAAGTGGAGTGGATTTGAACTCTCTGAGTTGCCAGGTACTTTGTAATATCTTCTTAAGGCAGGACAATAGTTTAATTGTAACTCTTTGCTAAAAAAACCCAAAAACCTACATAAAGTAGTTGTTCATAATGTGAAGATTTAGAACCTAATTTACCCATTCTCATTACTCTATTTGCATCCTCCGCTCCACAGACTTAAATGGCTCTTGGAGTCCTAAGTAGTGTTAAAATAATGAAGTGGTAAAACGAAGTGTTTTATATTGAGCACAAGGTACTGTGTATGATCTAAGCAGTTCTTTCCATTTACACAATTTTCACTTAAAGGTGGCATAAGTTTTCAACAAAATCACATTTTTAATGAAAAAAATCTCCTTGCTTTGAAAGGATACAGCTATGGCCCCTCTTCACATAGCTGGCATGTTTCCTACAAATAGCAGTGACTTTTCAGGTAACCTCCTCACATTCTTAAAAGCTGTAGGTGAAATCTCAAAAAGTTCATTATTTACACTTAATTTGCCTTATTAAAATGCAAAATTTACCTCTAAAATACATTCTGGGGAATGAACAGTTTTTGTGAAATTCCTAGGTTAAATATTTTAAAGACCAGCTTAAGCTAGCCAGCTCTGCCTTTCAGGATTTAGAAAGGATCATTGCTTATGTTCACTCATATTTGTTTATTATGATTTCAGAAGTTACAGATACATATATACTATTAAACTGAACTTACAAAAAAAAATATAGAGGAAAGATTTCTGTGTCTTTACAAGAAATCATCCTAGTTATAAGAAATTATACTATGACATTAGTTTGAAACCCCCCAGTACTGTATATGGTGTCAGAAAAATCTTTCAGTGACACTCATGAAATCCAGATCTGTTGAGTGGAATTGCACAGATATTCTGTCTCAGAACAGTTACTTCATAATACAGTGTATGCACAGAGGGGTTTAAGCGAAGTGTGATTGAAGGGCTGGGAACTTACTGGTTCATGGACATAGCTCAGTCCTGAGGTCCTGTTGCGAAGTTCCTGTTTGTTCCAAGCTTCAGCTCAGGATTTGTAAGGGCTCTTCAACTTGGCTTCTGAAAGAGAATGAGTTTTTCTGTTATTTTCAATAACAGGAAGGCGTTTCAGCTTAGGTCTCAGATGGAGTCTTAGGTCAGCAGTGATATGAAAGGCCATTAGCTTGGTTTTACTCCTTTTATTTTAACCTTGGAGACTTTGGAAGTGCAGTGAGAATAATGTGGAGATGTTAATAACAAATTGACCACTATAATAATTTTTTTACTAGAATGCTATTTACCAGAGTTAGTAAGAAACACATTTAATATACGCAGGGTTTATCTGTACTACCAAACATCCTTGTTCAAATGCTGATCTTCTTGTTAAGATATCTGAGGTGAAAATCAAATAAGCAATCAAAAAAATGGAAAATATCATTGAGCCCTTTATAGAGAACAAATATATACCTAGACAACTTATAAATCAAAACAAATTCCTGTCTTACAACTCCACTCTCAGTGACATTCAGTGCTCTTAGGTATGTATGATTTATGACTAAACCTATTCTTATGAATGATCTCAACCCATACGAAATCCATTGAATTAGAAACAGATTAAGCTTCGCGGTGCACAGGATTTTACTGACATGCTTTTGTACTTCTGACCACCAGAGGGAGCCGGTGTTGTCCTAGAGTCACAGTAGAACAAGAAAGAGTAACACTTAACACTGATAGACCCCACACTTGCATAAAGTTTTCAAGTTTTTAGTTTTTAAAGTAGTTTTTTTTCTGCAACTAAAAAGAAAAAATAATTTTGCTTCTGATTTTTTTAGATCAGTTTCATTGCAAATATGAAAATGAAGAAAAAATTATATTTTCAGGTGATGCCACTGTGATGGCATCTTCCAGATACAAGCTCAAATTTTTTGCTCTAAGCTTTCTCAAAATACGGTGGCATATTGAGTTGGCTATTATATTGCATAGATATTGCCTCTGTATCTATAGCAGCTGTGTCCAAAGTGTGCTAATTAGTACAAATGGTTGGTGTAGGTTCATAAAGCATGCATAAGTGCATAGAAGTAGGTCAGGTCTAGTGCCAGTATAGAAAGACTGTGTTCCACTAGGTGGATCTTATCAGCTTGAGTCTTAGAATTTAAAAATCATGACCAGATCAGTTTAGTATCCGTCTTCTTTCATAGATAAATTATTTCAATACCAGCAATTCAGTCACTTAGAGACTAAAATCTCCAATTTTCAAAACACCCTTAAATATCTTGTCTACATGTAATACTTCTGGGATTTTTCCTTGCCATTGGAATCTTTGAGGAACAAAATGAATGTTTTCTTTCACACTGGGCAGATGGATTTTTTTTTCCTTTTCTAGTCACAAGACTGTAGAATAATACTAAACATTTAACTCATTCCAATTTTATCTTTAGAAAATGTGCTACTGATCTGGCATTGAAAATTATTCTGGGCAGGTAAAATATGGAGAAAAGTATTCTAAATATATAAGTAGATAAAGGAAATATTTCTCATCTTGCTGTTTTTTAATGATCCAGTAGGATCCTCCACTGGAAGAAAAATCATCCAGTTTGAATTGTATGATGAGTTGAAAAAACTTATGATGCATTTGTTTATTAAACATATGGCCATCTAATCTATCATATCCCCATCATCTCTACCATTATTCTGCTTTTTTAAAGTGAACTCTGTGGTCATAATTCTCATAGCCTCATCATTTATGTTTACAGCCAGTTTAAGCCCCCCTTATTGTTCTCTCTCAGTATAAAAGTGCCTCTTTTTGAGAGCTGGGCTCTGTGTGTGTATGTATGACAGCAGTTCTGTCTCCTGAGCTTGGCTTCCAGTCACTACCATGGCTCTCAATATATATTTACTGCATATAGTAGGCACCACTTAACGTTCCATACAAAAATACATGTTATTTTAGAAGACAGAATGGAACTTACTCTATCCCTCGAAAATTACAGCCATGTTGTTTTCTGATTACATTGTAAAAGTATGGACTCCCCCCTCAAGGACCGTGAAACAAAATTGATGTCTCTGTTTACACTTCTTATTCATAAGCTTCTGCTATAGCAGCTCTGTGGCTAGAGAAGTCCACTGTTAAAATGCATAAGAAATTGACAAAACAAAAAGTGGCATAATTAATTCTTTGTTTATCCAGAAGAGTTTACAGGTGGTAAATGCTGATTTTTGCTGAGATGAATAAGGAGAAAGATGATCTTGCATATTTCCCTGCAAGAATGCCCTGCTTTATTCCTTTTTTATTGCATATTCTTGTGTATGCTCTGGCACCATTTACTAGTGGTAAATTACTGTTGAAAGCATCAAGACCAAAGAAAGAATGAATGACTCTAGAAGCTGGCAACATACTGAATTGGTATCAACTAGTAAGTCCTTTCTATTCCTTGAATGTACCTTGAACATGAAAGATTTTTCTTTCTGTTCACTTCTAATAAGAAAATAGTAAATTTGGGTCTCTAGATCTGCTTCATTTTCTCATGCCTTGAGAAAGTTCTAAGGAAGGAGACTGAATCCTGGGTACAAACACTGTTGGAAAGCGGGAGTAATTTCATATTCCCTTATAATCCCCTGCTTATGCTGCCTACTTGTATTGGACATAAAAGTTGTAATTTTGAAGACTTTGAGCCAGAAGTCATGTGTCTGTAAGGGAGCACAATCACTTTGAATAATTGAAGAAAATATTTTCTGGTTACATAAGTATGGGATTGGACCCCCATGAATCAAATAATCTTTCTAGACACATTTCCTGGTGTCAGATTTTTAACTGGCTACTTACCTATTTCCTGCAGTGTGGAATAAACCTGAGCTTTCCTTTTTCCCATCCTGACTAAATGTCATGACATTTCTCCTCTTAATTCCCTTGCAGACCAGCTTTGCAATCCAAGTGGTCTGTGGATAACTGTGAATGTTCTTCCAAGTGAAACCAAATTCTCTGTTGTCTTCTTCCTCTGTCAAAAGAAGAGCAGTTTTAACTACAGGAGCTGGGTGGCATCTTAGACATACTCTGCTGCCCTTGAATGGTGGAATGTGAGGAGTTCTCACAGCCATACACATAGTTCTAAACTTTAACTTTATCAGTAACAAGTGGGACTAAACATCTGTGTTCAACCAAATATATGCATGTGGTGCAAGAGTGTGTGTAAGAACTTTCATCCTGGGTGTGAATTTGAGCCAGGTTTACACATAAGTTCTGGGCCAAATCAAACCTGAAGGCTGGTGCTTTAAATGGCATTTATAGTGGAAGATCCTACAATCAAATACAGGAAATGCTCATGGAGCTGCAGTAAACCAACCTGAAATTTTTTCTCTGTTCCAGTAGGTGATGATTCTACTACCAAAGTGCTTTTCCATCTTAGAGATGCTCATACTCAGCTTTTGCTATTACCACTTCTAAGTCAGTAAACACTAATATGCCTACCTACTTTCTTCTAAGAAATTGAGTATTCTGGCCATGCACATTCACTTCTGGGTTTTTGGGCACGAGGGAGCAAAAGGCTGAGAGCAGAGACAGCTTCTCTTTTGTCAGCTGCTTTTGTGGATTCCATAATTGGTTCTTGGCATGGATAAAATAATTACTTTCTAACCTACTACCATAAGTAAAGGTGGGGTGTAATGGAGAGCAAAGACCTCAGACAAAAGAAGATGGAGAAAAGAATGAGAAAGGAGGACTATGACAGACAAATACCATTTTTTCTTTAAAGACTATAGTGACTAAAAGGTAAAAATAAAGTTGCTAAATATATGGTGCTCTCCCATAAACAGTGAAAGACTGGTAGAGGATTATCTGCTTGTTTGTTAGAGCAAACAAAACAACTAATTTTTCCACTTTAAGCATCAAATAAAAATTATTATTGTTTTCTGCTTTTTAAAACATGTAGGTAAGCATTTTTCTTTTCTCTTCAATGGTTTGGTTTTTTTCTCAATTTCTTGACAAGGTAAAAAAGGGAAAATATTTTACAGTTTGTAAAAGCATAAAAGTTACTGAGGAAATAGTTTCAACATTTTTTTCTAAACTGTGGAAACACGCAAGAGATCTGTTTTTGGTGTCTATGGATGAAGCAGTCAATATTTGAATTAATATATTTCTTAAAACATAAGAATTATGACAAATTATAAAAGATTTATAAAGATTGTAAGAAAATATAATTACTGGCTTTAAGTTCAAGATAAGAGTTTTGTTTACTTCACTTTTACTTGTAAGAGATGGAGCATTTTGGAAGGCAAACAAACTCTTATAAACTTGCTCTTCAGAAAGGCTCACCGTGGACTGCCAAGGACTGTAGAAGGGCCATCCTGTATAACTTCTTAGTGTTGCTGGAAGTAGATGACACTTTGGGATCTACTGCATGAATGCATTGGGAGCTTGGTTTTGTTCTGAAACTCTTTTTGGGTACTACCAGTCTCAGATGTGTTGAATCAATGCTATTATTTTTTACCAACTGAAACTTATGCCACTGTTCTCCCAATAATAAGAAACATCTTTTTTCTCTTTTCCAGAAGAGATCCTACTCCAATTAAATACAATGTATGTGAATAATTTATTGATTCCTTACAGGTTAAAACTGTATTTTTTCACTTCTAAAACCCTCGTCTGTTTGCCTTGAGAGAATTAGAACAATATGCTGATTAACTGACCAGTCAGTAAAAGAAACCCAGAGGTTTAAGTGTCCAAGTTTTCCAAATGAAAACATTTTGGTAAAAAAAAAAAAAAAAAAAAAAAAAAAAAA